CCCAGCCCAGCCCTGCCCTGTTACTCTGTAGCAATGCTAGTGTTCCATTTGGAGGTCCCATCCAGCGTTTATCTTTCCTTCCCCTGGGGGACGGACTTTCACCACTGTCTTTCCCTCTCCTTGCGAATAGTGCCGTGGGGAACGTGGGTGTGTGCGGATCTGCTCATGTTTGCTCCTTCATCCTTCAGGGCAGTGTTTCCCAAAGTGGGGGACATCACCCCTGGGGAGCGCTGGAATGATCGAGAGGGGGGCTGCCAAAGCTGGTAGCTGCATTTGATCTTGGGTTATGGGCTGTGGCACAAAAGTTTCTGCCAGGAGGGCTCTGAGTCCTTTCTGTCTTTTTTCTGAAATGGGAGCGATCAATTTGGTACTTTACGTTCTATACTGAGGAGTTGTGGGTCCCCCGTTTGTTTGCGGAAGTGCCATGCCAGTGTGCACGGGGATGTGCAAGTTACCGTCTCACCTGCAGCTGATGGGGGTCCTGACCCCTCCGTACCCTCTCCAGACTTTTCTTGTCTTCTGATTGTCTGTTTCCTCTCAATGCTGGTGGTATGGCGTCCCTGTTTTTAGTTGCATCTCTCGAATGGCTAGTGAGCATGGACATTCCTTCTTGTGTTTGCTGACCTCCTGGGGGTCACCTTGGGTGAACTGTTCATGTTCTCTGCCCATTTTAAAATTGGAGTTTTTGTCTTTTTCTTGTCAAGGTGTTGCAGTTTTCTCTAGATTTTGGAGATTAGTCCCTTATCCGAGATATCATTGCCAAAAGATTTTTCCTAGTCTCTGGGTATATATATATATATAATTTTTGAGGCATTCTCCTGATGCACATAAATGTCTTGTTTTTAGGAGGCCCCAGTCATCTGCTGTCTTCTGCGGCACTAGTGTTACTCATGATGATTGACAGTGCATTCATGCCAAGTTTCAGGACCCTTCAGTGTGTCCTTATTTTTTCTTGATGATCTTTAAAGTTCTAGGGCTCACACCTAGATCCTCAATCCATCTTGAGTTCATTTTTGTCATTTGGTGTAAGGTGTGGGTCCTGTTTCATTCTTCTGCAAATGGAAATCCAATTTGGCCAGCACCGTTTGTCGAAGAGACTACCTCTTCCCCCCCACTTAGTGTACTGTAGCCCTTTGTGAAAATCGTCTGTCTGCGAATGGATGGACTTCTTTCTGGATCCTCTGGTTTTCTCCATTGGTCTACATAGCCACTGTTCTGTCAGCCGTGGCTGTTTGGACCGCCATGCTCTGTGGTAGGTTTTGAGACCTGGTTCTTCTTCTTCTGTAAAACCCTTTACATCTTGGGTTTCCTTCTTTTCCCTAGTTAGTGATGCGTTTTCCCATTTCCTTGAAGAATGATAATGGGGTCTGCATTAGAATTGTATCATATTTAGAGATTGCACTGAGGAACCCTGATGGTGTAGTGGTTACGGGCTGGGCTGCTAACTGCAAGGTCAGCAGTTCGGAACCACCAGCTGTTCTTGGGGAGAAAGATGGGGCTTTGTACTCCGGTAAGGAGTTACCATCTCAGAACTGCCCAGGGGCGTTTCCACTCTGTCCTGGAGGGTCTCTATGGGTTGGCACAGACTCAGAGGCAGGGGGTTCGGCTTTGGCCTTTGGGTCACATTGACATTTTCACAGTAATGTTACGCCTGCCTGTCCATGAACTGGAACATTTGTCCATGTATGTAGGTTTCTTTGAGTGTCTTTTTTTTCCATATGAAATTGCCTGTCACTGGAGACTCCAAGTTCACTCTGGCTTCACCGTTCCTCCTTTTTGAGCCACCAGACCAGTCTTTAGGTCTGAGGAGTAAGCAACCTGGAGAGGTTTGGGGGTGAATGTTCATGGACCTGTTAAACGCTCCATCTGTTTGTCCATCGCCCACCCCCACCCCTCTCCTCAGCCTGCTCCCACCCCTGTCCCTGGCCTTCCCATAGTCACTAAAGTCTTGTCTGTTGGTATACAAACCACATTTCTTCTTTTACGTTTTTCCTTGTAACAGTGGTGATACTAAATATTTATCTCTGTAAGATTGACTGAGTTGCTAAGCATAATGGTCTCCAGCTTTGTCCATGTCTCGCACTGTTTAAGAGAATGATCATTGTTTTTAATTGACGCATCAAATGCCATCATATGAACGTGCCAGAGCCTTTTCATGGTTCCTCGATAATAGGGGATTTGGGTTGTTTCCATGTTTTTGCTATTGTGGAAATGCCTGCAGTAAACACAGGTGTACATATGTCTGGTCCGGTTATGCTTTTAAATTCTTTGGAGCCTGTGCCCAGTAAAGAGATTGCAGGATCACAGGGCACTTGCATTTGTTTGAAGAAAGGCCGTAAAGGTTGACCCATTCACTGGTCACGCCAGCACTCGGAGAGTGCTCCTCTCTCCCCACCTCATCCTTTCCAGCAGTTGTTATTTTCTGTTTTATTGAGTTTTTCCAAAGTGTTGGTGTGAGGTGCTACCTCATTGTTGCCTTAACTTGTATTTCTCTTACTGTTAATGATCACGAATATTTCTTCACGGGGCTGTGGGTTGTCTGTGTGCCCTTTGTGACGGGGTATGCGAATGGTCCTTAATTGAGGTACTGTAGCCTTCGCAGATCAGTCGCGATCTGATGTGCTATCACTGCGCCCTTTTCCCCATCCGTGGGGTTCTCGGGATGCTTCATTTGATGAAGTCTTCCGCTGTGCATGAATGCCGCCTTCCTCGTGGGCCCCACTTCTTTATTTTTGACGTCTATGCTGTGGAGATTTTTCATTATGCTCAGTGGTGTATTGATGTCTCGTATTAGTGTCCTCGAATTTGTCCCTAGTTTTTCATGGAGGGTCTTACTCATTGTGCGATTTATATTGAGGTCTTCGCTCCCTCGCGAGTTTGTTGGGGGTCCTGGTGGGAAGTGTGGGTCTCGTTCGTTCCTCGGGCAGTGAAGATGCAGTGTTTCCAGCGCCTTCATTGAGAAGGGTGTCTCTTGCCCAGTTAATGTTTTCATTTTTTACCAAAAATTAGGTGTCCATAGGTACTCGGTTGTATTTCTGGGTTCTCAATTCCTGTCTGTGGGGAGAAGGGGTGAGGGGGTCCCCACAAATCATCACAGGTCTGGTAGGCGCAATTGTACAGCGATAATAAGTAAGGATTATAGTAAAGTCATAGAGAGCATGAGAGTTAAAGGATGGAGTCAAGTAAAGGAGTCAGACGCAATTCATGGTAGCATTGCTCACCTCAGCTCGGCTTGGTGGTCCTTGTGGGGGGAACCCGGCCACGAGAGCCGGAGCAGCCTCAGGGACCAAGAACCGGGGAGCCTCTAGGCCCCGAGGATCGGGGAGAGTCTCCTGGGCCCGGGAGCCAGGGAGAGCCCCGGGAACCGGGGAGAGCTTTTTCTTTATTCTCACCAAGCATTATATCACTTTAGGGGGACATGATTACAGAATCACACGTCACAGGAAGGGGCAGTACAATAGGCATACACATTGTAGGAAGGGGACGTATGATAGGCATAAGCGTGACAGGAAGGGGATGAGCTAGGGGTGTGCCCATAGGAATGGGAAGGTCTAGGGGTATACATGTGACAAGATGGGCGGACCCTAGATTCATGATGGCAGCCTAACCTTGGTCATCCTTGGGCGGGTTTGACCTCTCTGGTGTCTCCTACAAGGAAACATACAAATACTATCCTTATCAGAAGGGAGTGGGCCCTACTTGTGGGATAAACAGTGGTGTCTGCTTGGTCTAGACAGCTGATAACTCTCAGGGAGGATGACCCTTAATCTACTCCTGACGATCTCCAAGTGTATAGTCATTCTCAAGCAGCTAAGTCTGGCATATATTTGGGGGAGACAGCTTGAGAGAAATCCTTCTGTTTCCCATACCTGTCCATCGGTCTTCACGCCCATCGTTGTACCAGTACCAGGCTGTGGTGATGACAGTGGCTATATAGCAGGGTGAAGTCTGGGAATAAAAGACCTACTTGGTTTTTGGTTTTTACTGTTTTCTTTATCTTAGGTTTCTTTCCTCCCTGTATAAAGTTAATAGTCAGGTTTTTTCCCTTTCTTTGAAAAATTGCCATGAGATGTGGGGCAGAATTACGTGGAATTTGGCAAAGTTTTCGTTTCTCACAGCAGTGTTGTCTGTAGAATGCTGTAGTTGCGCTGGTTAGACTTATTCCTCCGTATTGCGTCCGTTGGGCGGCACTCGGAGATGGTATTGTTCTCTTGCTGTCTCTTTCAGACCGCTCGTCCTACGGATACAGGAATTGTGTTGGTTTTCGTTTGTCGATCTTCATAGCCTACCACTGAGTTTCTTTCAACGACTTCCAACCAGTGTCTTGTCAAGTCTTCGGGGTTCAACCAGAACGTGCTTTAGAGGCAAGGCTACTGAGACTTTGTCTCACGTAGTTTAGACACATTATCAGGAGAGTCCACAAAGGTGCTGAACAAAGTGTTGTCACACAGTGGCTGCAACAATGGGCTCAAGCAGAACAGTTGTGAGGCTGGTGCCGGACCAGACAGTGCTTCAGTCTGTGTCCTATTACTTGAAAACCACTCACGGGCACCTACCAACAACAACAACATGGAGACTCGTATCATCCGCAGACAGTTGTAGTTGAGGCCTTTGGACCCTTTTTGTCATCTAATAGCTGAGCTAGTACCTCCAGCACAGCATGGAAGATAAGTGGCGATAAAGGACACCCTTGTCTGGTTCCCATTCTCAAGGGAATGCTTTCACCGTCTCCCCAGTGAGTGGGAGGTTGGCTGGTGTTTTTTGTGTCCATGGCCTT